ATTGATTTATTTAAATATTGAATATTTAAGTAGCTTTATTTACTCCTTAGTGTACCATATAGTTTTTTAAGTATGTATTGTGATTTTGAAAACTCTTGTATTTGTACATTATGTAATTGTGTATATCATTAAGATAAAAAACATTTTACCCAAATTTGCCAAATTAACTTTTCATAATATTGTATGATTAAATATGGTATCCATATAACATATATTTATTACCTGGATTTTATTATAAAATTTAGTTATTAGTTTTAACTATTGTAAACTAATGTAAACTATTGTAATTGTAAATGTAATTATATTTCATAGCGTACACATAAAGTATTGAGTTTATATGCAAACGCTATGTGGTATACAATACTCTAACCCCTTTCACACCTCCTAAAAGTGAGTAACGTCTCAAATAAAGTACTATATAGTATTTCTTATGCCCACTTCGACCAGTAAATGGACATTTCGGCTATAATCCACTTATTTTAGACCGTTTTAGTGCCGTCACGTTGTAAGAAGCCGTGAATAATAACGGAACTTTCTTTTTACATGTCTTGTTTAGAGAATCCTAAATTCTACTCAAAACGGTTCAAATGCTGTGATTATTGGCTCAAAGATTGCACCAATCAAACCATATTTGATATAAATCAATGGATTACATACTGAAATGTGATGAAAGATGACATACATGTGTGCAATTCTCCCACACCTCCATATTCTTCAGTTATTGTTTCCTCATATTATTGGTTATTTAGTTGTCTTCGGGCTCTACAATAGTCTTCAGTCATTAGTAGACTCTTCAGTCACTAATCACTTCTCTCGTTAGAGGCAAAAAAATTAAACCAAAAAAAGTCAAAACTGTCAGTCACTCTATTTTTTACTCTAAAGCAAGACGTCTACTTTTACTTTTCTACCTAGACATTATAATATAAAGTACAGTATGTACACTTTATATTATACTGTATGTTGTATATCCTGCTTATCTATAAATATTCATCATTATACAATATATCGTTACTTTATTTACAAAATAAATGCCTTTTTTAACATTTTGTTACTCACATTTTATTTTGTGTTAGTTTTTTTACTCTCCCCTATTGTAACGGTATATTTGACTAAACATTTATAAAAGTTTATATGTGTATAAATTATAAATTTTTATAAAATGCATAAATTGTGCCCATCTCTAGACACTAAATGTATGCTCTAAAGACATGGCAATAGTTTACATAATTTAAATTTAGTTTACATAGTTATTCATAATTTAAATCTTATTTAATAAAAATTCATTTACTATACTCTATCAAAAAATTTGATTCAAAACTATTATTAAATAATATTTATATAATCAAGTTGATAAAAATTATTGTAATTGTTTTTTATATAAATACAAAATGCATTTTTGTGATAATATTTATCTACTGTCGAAAACTAAGCATTGGTCAGTAAACAATATTAAGTAATCCGGTATTACTAATACCATATGTAATTATAAATATAATTAAAATTTGCCTATTTTTGGAGAATGAAAAAATTATACTAACTAAAAATCTATGAGTCATTCAAGCATGATTGAAATAACTTAATTTGATGCATGTTTTTATTTTTAATAGAATTAGAGTTTTACATTAAGTAATATATTTAGAAACGAAAATTTAAAATGCCTAATAAATAATTAAACAAAATTCTTTAAATAAAATATCAACTCATTTAGAGTAGTCTCACTGTAAACATAAAGCATTACTTTGATGTATAAATCGGTAATTAAACCAATGCTATCAATAAATAACTTCAGAACTTGCATGTTATATGTGTGCGCGAAATGTCACAAAATTACTGTTTAGATAACAATATTACAGAATTTATGCGAAAATCATTCCCATTGCAAATAAAATACACAAAATTCAATCAAATTAATGTTTGTCGGAACAAATTTATGCATTTATTTTTTAAAACTCAAAAATTACTTTTAATTTAATGGTTGGCTGCAAACAACTTTTCACAAACCTATCAAAAACATGCGACCATTTATTGAATACGAATTCCATATTCAATTCAATGCATATTTCAATTCCTAGAATTATTTTTTCATAAAATACATTGAAATAAAATTTTTAACCTATTTATTCAAAAATCAAATGTATATATGAAAGCATATTATGATTTCATTTAATATTATTAACAAAACAGATGCGAATCAATGCAAACATAATATGATTGGAATTTTCCAAAAATAATATCTAATTTTTTTTGTTCTTGTATTTATATCCCTAATAATTCCTATATTAATTTTTTGAATAAACATAAAATTAGATTTCAATATAAAACCATTATTATTATTAGTGGTTTATATCAAATTTATCTATTGATAAATTGGATTTGAATATTATATTTAATCATTAAATTATACAAACGATATAATTCTGACGTACAATACATACACAATTCTTGGATATCTTTCTTAGACTGTGTTTACGAGATATTTGTTTAAAAGATATGACACAATATATTTCCTGACATAAAATTCTTATTCAAGTGACGGCACAAGTATTCAATTTTTTAAATAAGAATTTTATGATATTATAGTCAAAACAAAATACTCAAGAATTTCAGACATGCAACTTTTATTATAAATATTATTTACATATAATGCTTATTGAAATGCTTATATTGTGAAGCACTCAATTATATCTTATAGTTTTCTATATTGTATAACAATTTTGACAATTATTTTTGCTGTCCAATATTGTTTATATAGTTGAGTAAAATATATATTTAGGTAAAATATGTTGCATCGACTCACCAAGAGGAATGTTTTCGGGCATATATTAATATTGCACATTTAAGAGTGTGAAAATACATGGAATAATTTTTGACCAAATATTTCATTTTCAATTAAATATTTAACAAAAATACACTGTATACAATATACACCTTTATACAACTAATTGTCCGCCAAGTATAAGTCTAGTGCAAATTTTGTAATGTAATTTATACTCTAGTAGAATCTAGATTAGTTTCTAATAAGTAATATTTTATAATTAGTAATATTTAAAAAAATTATATAAATGAGATATTAATTACGGTAGAAGGGGTTTCATAATTTCCATATAAGATTAAAGATGAGAGTTAATTTTAATGTCTCATACATTGTTTGTAAAGCATATTTGTGTTGTAAACTATGTATCTCAACCATTTGTAATAATTGAAGGGCGACTTAAGTTGGTATTCTGGCCTAACTATACATGTAATGGAGACCCCATAGCGAGAAATTTACAGGAAATTTCAATGAAATTTTGGGAAAATAAAAAATTTAGTTGACCATAATTGTTTGACTGATAAATATTAAGTACAGTCTGCCCTCGGTTTTGACATATGCGTTTTTACAAAACGCGATTTTAACATATAGTTTTGCTAACACCGCTGAGTCATATTAGTACTGTTAATGTACTCGATTTTAACAGAATGCGATTTTAACACATATTATTTACATCCCGATGACATGATCAAACCGGGGGCAGACTATAATTGTGTTATCGCTATAAAAGTTTATAACAGATTTATATTTGACTTTTAAAATTGTATTTTAGTTTTCATTGTTTTGTGTTAGTTATTATAGCGGGAATGTTATCTTTAGCACAACAAATCAATTGCTATAAATATTGATTAAATATATTGTGAATTACATAACCAAATAAAATTTAACAAATTTTGATAAAGTGTTGACATTTGACAACAGAATCGACGGATTTAAATAGTGTTTGTAATTGCATTCTATGACCAAAAGGAATTGAATTGATTGATATTTATAGACCATGCTTATTTAACAGAGCTGATTTTCAGTTATTTGTCATTTATATAATATAAATTATATAATCGATTTTTAATACAATTGAAGTGAGGGGTCATATTGTTTAAAAGTATTTCTCAATTTAGGAGTTATTTATATAATAAAACGTAATGCCATTATTTAAACAATGGGTTTAAGAATTTGTGTGAATTGAGTTGTAATTTTATATAAATGATATCTATACTTACTCTAAATCAATTAATGTAAAAATAACCATGATCAATAGCAAATGGTTTTTCGACTTTACTGATATGTTCAAATTATAAATTAATATTCATGGACAATGATATTATTATATAATTTTATAATTATTTTTAAGTTATAAACGCGTCATAATTTTTTACTAAACATTTATATATTTATTTATTATAATTATTGAATTACATATTTTAGATATAAACAAATAAATAACAAATTTATATATCATACAAATAAAGTATTTTTAGACACAATAATTATAATATTAATTGTTTTTGTATTTATAATCACTTTTATTACATCATTTACGAAATATAATGCAATTTTGTAATTTATATGATTAAAATAAAATTCTGTTATTATAAATATATACAATGTTCAATATATTTTATATATTCAATATTTTATCACAATTTTATACTATTATGTTTAAATTAAAATTAAATTTAAAATAATTACAAAAGGTTACAATATTTTAATTGTATTTATAATAACTTACAATAAGTCTACTTATCATAGATTATAACATTTAAAAACAATGTCACGACAAGGAATAATACTAAAAATTGTTAAATCAATAATACATTAATAGTAATAAATTTAATAGTCTAGTGAATATAAGTTACATAAAATGTATGATCGATAAATGGCACTCAAAACAATTAACTAAATAAAAAACAACTAGTGTAAATAAAAATAGTATACACAAATACAATATAGAAAGTTTAAAATAAAGTAATTTTGTAAACCCAATACTTTAATGATACTTATTTTTAAATTTCGAGATTACTTACAGATGTGTTAGAAAGTAAAGTACATTACATTGTATATTGTATTGTATTGTGCTTTTCATGCGTTTAGACAAACAAATCTCTTCTTTCAGATGAAACTTTAAGATGAAAATAAATACAAGTTTTACCGTTGAGTTTGAAACTAAATAACACAATAGTAGATGCGATGAAAACATGGTATAGAGGTTCAGAGTCGGGTTGAGTTGGCGCCGGCGATGGCACCCGAAGAGCTCTTTATGGATGTGCTGTAAAAGAGCAATGGTTTGGCCCTATAGGTAGGCTTTCGCTCCAATTGTCGTCTTTTCGCAAAACAGCCAAAAAGGTATCGTTTAAAATGTGACCGAAATTTGCCACTAATTAAGTATAGCTTTTCAGTCGACAATAGTTATGGTTAGCAACAAAAGGAAGATTTAAATTAATATTTTGAATTTTAATTAATGGATAGTTAATGCTTACAGTCACCGGATTTAAACAACTGTTGCTAAACGTTAGACAATATCCTTTGTGTTTGCATTTAAACAGGAAAACAATAATTAATTACATTTTTGTGAATACATTTACACGACTATTATAGGATCGTTAGACAGATTTGACCGAAAGGACAAATACAAGTTCAATAGACAAGAACCGAGAGAAAAGTTTAATTGAGAAAATAATTTCAATGCCAATCGTTAACCGCTAATAGTATTAATATTAGAGTACATCAAACTTCTCTAACTAAACATCTAACAGATGATCCTTTTCACGTAAATTACTTTCCTATACAACACATTTAATTTCCTGTCGTGTGAATTAAGTGCTACACTGTATAAACCCAACAGTCACTCATGTATTGTCATTAAGATCGATATAAAACAATATTTATTTACCTGTAATTTTTAAGATATGCCAAAATGTATTGTAATTTTCCATTGAGTTTGGGTATGTGAAGTAAAACCATATCATGAAAACTGCGACAAACAAACAAAAATAACAATTTATAATTATAACAAC